ATGTACTTATGCATACACTGTACATGTATAAGACTTAACAGCTGTTACAAATATAGGTGTAGTTGCTTGAAGCATTAACATTTTTAACATAACACCCTGGCCGACATTTTTGACTACACATTAATAAAGGATCGATTCAGTCCTTGAGAGATCCAGGGAAAGAGTGTGAAAATTTTCTCTTTAGAAAAAAATTGCACTAAATGTTCCCTATTTTTCAGTACTGTTCATCTCTTCCGTTTTGTGCAAATAATAAATCAATTGCTTTTTTTTTTTAAAGCAACCCATGAACGTCAGAATGAAATATAGCTCAGTTTATAAATAAACTTCAGGTTTTTTTTGTGGCCAAAGTTTACAAATTGTTTTTTTTTTCTCTTCAAAACAAAATTATGATCACATTTCTCATAAATCTTTCCCTTTTTGCAAATAGTAAGTTCACTTCTCCCTTTGAAGCAACTCACAGACACCAGCATCAAATATATCTTTCATGACGTTTATCCCTTTCTTTTTTGCCGTAACAAGCTGTTTTTCCCCCTAATTCTGCGGTTTGTGCGACCCTCATAGCAGGTCTTACTGAACCCTGAGACCCTTCGGCATACACCCGGTACCCTACCCACTCCTTGCCTATCAAACAATTACGGCAGAGGTCACCAGTTCCACAAATAAAAGAGCCAAGTTTTCAAGAGTTCCCATGGAAGTGTCCCATGAGCTTTTGAGGGACCAGCTGAAATTCTATGCTCGGTGATATTTGAGGTGTAACCAAATTCACAGTGAATAGATGTTGTGTTTAATAGTTCATAGTAATATAGGAAACATTAATTAAAGTACAAGTGTGTTTTTTTATATTAATTCCCATGGAAGTATCCCATGAGCTTTTGAGGGACCATCTGAAATTCTATGCTCAGTGCTATTTGAGGTGTTACCAAATTCACAATGAATAGGGCCTAGATGTTGTGTTTAGTTCATAGATATATACCAGTAAATATAGGAAACATTAATAAAAGTACAATTGTTTTGTGAGATTTCCTATGAAAGTATCTCATGAGCTTTTGAGGGACCATCTAAAATTCTTTGCGCAGTGATATTTGAAGTGTAACCAAATTCACAGTAAATAGATGTTGTGCTTAGTTCATAAGAAACACACATGTACATATGTACATGTACATGATATGTAAGTGCAATAATTTGTTAATGTTCTCATGGAAGTATCCCATGAGCTTTTAAGGGACCATCTGGAAACACCCATGACCTATTACGAGACCATCTATAAATCTGTGCTCAGTAATTTTTAAAGTGAAACCAAATCCACAATGAATCATGTTGCATATTATAATGGGTCATTCTATAAAGATTGGAGTCCAATATTTTTGGTGTCCCTGAATTTGTAAGTTCACGCATTCTTTAACACCTTCTATCTCCAAGAGCGATGATGTACAGTACCTGCCATACAAATACACAAAAAAACTATTTTGAAGTTGATTTTAATGATACTCGCATGGCAAGTTACACAGGTCAGATGTAACAGGGACACACACAAAAGTGACCCGAAATGTATGGAATGACCCAAATACACTTTAATTATTGGAACATGCAACTTTCGGTTTCTTAAAAAGGTATTTTATGAATTATATTTTATGATGCATCGACTTTGATGCATCATGGAGCTATTAAACACAGGTCAGGTGAAACAGGGACACCAAAAAAGGTTCCACTTTGGACCTGAAATGTATGGAATGACCCAAATAATTATTGGATCATGCAACTTTCGGTTTCGGTTTTTCTTAAGAAATGTATTTTATGAATACATTCATGATACATCGACTTTGATGCACACGTATTTGAACACTCGCATACCGTACATTGTAAACAAGAGAAGGGTTATGGAAAATTCAGTCGCCGGTCGGTTGACGCCAGTGTGCGTCCTGAAATCGTTCCAAGCTCTTAAGTCAAGTCCGAGACGTGTTTAATCTCAAGTCCAGTACAGGAAACTAAAATAGCACTCCACCTATAACTGTACAGACATGCAGTTTAAAGTTACACAAATGTAGTACATGTACATGTACATCTTGTACATGTGCATATCTTGTGTGTGACGTACATGTACATGTGCGTATCTTGTCTGTGTATATGTACATGTATGTACATGTACATGTACATGTACATCGTGTGCATATGGTATCTTGTGTGTGATGTACATGTGCATATCTTGTGTGTGATGTACATGTACATGTGCATATCTTGTGTGTGTAGTACCCACATCATGTACATGTACATGTGCATATCTTGTGTGTATGTACATGTACATGTTCTTGTACATATTGTACATGTACATGTACACCCGTGGATTCACACCTCACTGGGTCTGTTCTATATTCTGGGTGGGTCTCCGTCTCGCAATACTGGCATAATTTTCTGTCGGGTTGTATTTCAATTTCGTCCCACATGCTTTTTGTCAGTGCACGCATTCGGGCAGTGCACAATGTAGGCCAATGATAATTTCAAACCTGCGGGGATGATCGTGAACATGACAGACCTAACAAGCAGAGTATAACATTACCACATCGATACTTGGATAGACTTTCAATAACACTTACCAGAACTGAGACAGCACAGGACTTGGCTAAGCGCAGAAAATATCTGGTTAGCACAGAAAATAGTTGCATAGCCCCCCAAAAATTTAAAATTGTGTTTGTGGTGCCTACCTAGATTTTTTTTCCTGGCCAAATTGCCGAGCTCCATTTCAAACTTTTTATCGGCACGTCTGGCCAACAATTTAAAATAAAGTACATTTTGACCACTTGCCGCCGGGATTAGTTTTGGCAAAAAAAATACGATTTTTGAAAAAGACAAGATACATGTATCAGCCAAAAATTAAAAGTATTAAGTCAAACACAACATATACTCAGAGATGCCACTTTTCAGGTTTTAACCTGAATTCAGGTTGTTTTTTTTAAATGTGACAAATTAAAAGTGCTGGATTTGGTCTGAAGCATCCAGAAAACACATTCTTGAAAGGGGGTAAGGGTAGTTTCAGGTTTTTTAGTAGTGTTTCAGGCTTTTTATTGATATACTGGTGGCATCTCCGTATACTGACCCTTGAGAGTCATTTGTACTAGATTTGTAAGATACTTTTCACCGTAACTTCATCTTTTGCAACACTGTGAGCGAGGCCCTGCCACGGAGCCGCGGAGCGATATTTGCTATGACGACTGGCTGTGTACAACAGCCAAGTTGAAGTTAAAAACAGGGTGTGTACAAAACCATTGGGAAGCACTGACGTGTATACACGTCCCCCACCAGAGACTCGGGGGGGGGGGGGGCTTGAGAATTTAACCTGTCACACGCCCCTGTGAATATACATTACCACGTACTCTGGCATGAACTGGTTTTAACAGTTAAACCAGTTAATTACTGTTAAAGGTATCTTGAGGTAAACAAGGTAAAAAGTACCGGCATAAAAGACTGGCACACAAACATACATGTAAAAAATTACATAATAGAACTATCTTTTTTACCTACCTACCGGTACCTGGATAAGTTTTAGACTGCTACTGTAACCACACAATTTGTTTCGGCCTTAGCAAACAAAAAAAGGGTTACCGTTCAAAATAGCACTGAATGCATGTATGATGTTGCTTGCAACGTGTTTTTAGCCAGTTCCTGCTAAACCCCAAAAAAGGCCAAGCATTTTCTGCTCAGAAGCCGTGTGAAAATCCGGTAGCGGATGATGTAATATGCACAGACAAGCCCCCAAGATGATCTCATTCAAGCAGAGTTTAATATCGCGCCTGCATTTATTGCCGACTACCGGCGACGAAAGTTCATTAATTATAAAAGGATGGATGGATCGGCACTAGTATAAAATGCAATGCAGGCGTTTCCAACTCATGAGTGAATGGGCATGTGGAGGGATCACATGTACATGTACATGTACATGTACATGTACATGTAGCCTACATGTACATGTACATGTAGTATCATTAAAATACATGTACCGGTACATGTAAACATATGCATTTATATACATTTAGTTCAAACAACATACATGTACTTTCTACATGTGCTTACGTACAATGTAGTCCATATTGTGCATAGTTTTTGAAGGTCAGTGTACATGCACAAGGCGCATTCAGTTAATGGTAATGTACATGTACATGTACACATGTACATGTATATTTACACATGAACGTAGATTGCCATTTACATACAAGATATGCAACCTTACTTCATCATTTCATGCCTACACGTGCATGTTCATGTACAAGTACAGGTACATGTACCGGTACATGTACATGTATGTACTGTACATGGGCGTATTCATCTATTCAAACATAGCACACGTCCTCGATTGGGGTCGTGTACAAAACCTATGGGAGTCTTCCTAAAAAGTTGGCGTCCAAACAAAAGAGGGACAATAGGGCGTCCACGATCGATCGACGGTGTGAACGCGCTTGTATGTTCATGTTTATGCAGTCCCCATAATGTGAACGGTACGTGATGTGTACGGTGAGCGATGTAAATGTACATGTGTACATGTATGTTGAATTTCTGTCAGCACATACATAAATTGAAGTCCTATCATGAATTGAAATTGAGGGACCAAGGTCATGTCGCCAGCTTATTTAATCCTCTTTGTCAGTCACGCTGAGCATTTGAATCACCAGAGTGCTGTACCTGGGGATTTCCATCAAAGGATTGCTAGATCCTTATTCATGATTACTGGACCGTAAACCATGTACATTCATGAATGCATGCAGCAGCGTATGGTAAATGTGCTTGTGAAATGGAAGACAGATCTGTTGCAATATTGGATACATGTTCATGTCCAAATAGATGTACAATGTAATAAAAGGGAGTTGACAAAGAGCTTATTAGAACAACTGGTATAAAGGAATTCATGTACATGTATCAATCTATATACTTTTTGTGAGGTGTACATACATGTACATGTATGTAATAGAGGTACCGGTAGTCGAGCTTGATTTTAGCTGCTTTGCGCTGAAATGGCAGCATCAAGATGTATTATGTACTTCCCAGCATGTGTTCCCATGGAGCTGAGGTGGTGTTTGGAATGTTTCAGGTCGCAGGTTTAAACCCTGCTCCAGTCAATTTCTTAGATCAACTTTTAAAGTCAACTCGAAAATTACTTAGAATTCAGTTACTGTTAAAATTGTATCTTAAAAAAAGTGCTATGAAGAAGAAAAAAAGATGTAGAGCTCTCAGTGAAAGGTAACTAAATCTATTGACAAATTCTTCAACAAACCTCTGCAAAATGAGATGAAATTAGCTGCCGTAAGATATATATTCAACATCACCAGTTTCAACTACCATTAGAAATAACCTAACCAAGCATTTTTTCCTTTTTACCTTGTTACTTTCCACAGATGGTCCATGGATGTTTTACTTCAATGTCAAGTTCTACCCTCCCGACCCCGCCCAGCTCAAAGAAGACGTGACCAGGTAAAAACGTGCATTATTTTGTCATCCTGCCAACGTACCCACGATTCAATTTCAAAAAAATAGTTGAACATTAACCAGTGTGTCTGCATACTAAACACAGTGTACGATTCCTCGCATATGGAACCAATTTCATGGTGCCGCTAAGCGCAAAAGAGATTTGCTTAGCAGAAACTGGTTACCGGCCAAATTCTCACGTCATGTATATTGCCGTCGACTGGTACTCGGCCAATTTTCACTAAGCGCAAAAATTTGCTTAGCAGCATTTTCTGTGAAATCAATCCCCGGTCTAAAGTGCACTCCAAGAAGATTGATCGTATTTCCCACACCAGGATTGTCCTCATGTAGTCATTCCACACGGATCGCACTTGTACTTTGGAGTTAAATTGTCCTTCGGTTGATAAATCGGGGCACAGATTTTCTACCGTAGGTCTAATTGCTGGCATGACTTGTAGGTAACTGAAATTGAGTAGACAGTTTGGAGAGGCTGACATGACGTAATTTTGAATGATGTCAGATGTTGTCGTCCCGACCTTTACCGAGCTGCATGGCTTCTTTTAAATTTCAATTTATTTTAAAGTTACTCTCTTCGTTTTTTTTTTGAGTTTCACCTTGAAAAATAGATGTTGTTTGTAAATTATTTTTGTTTTCTAGCGATACAAAAAGTCATTCATTTTAACCCTAACTCCCTAGGCCTTTTTGCTAGGATGTAGCCTCAATCCTGCAAAATCCTCCAATTGGCCTCATGGAAAAATAGCATATAGCCTCAATCCTGCAAATTCCTCCGTTATTTCTTGAATATGGTCCATGGAGGATGACCACTGCCTGAATCCTGCAAAATCCTCCGGCTATGTCTGTCAATAGGCTGAGGCAGAGGCAGTGACATTCTGGAGCAGTGCGGAGGATGTCAAGTATAATCAAGGACTAAATTTATGCACGGCTGAGCATAAACAACACAAGGTCCGGCCCAAGACCTTGACACAGTGCGTATTCCGAAATCAGCAACGCACTTTTGCCATGTAACCTCAATCCTGCAAATTCCTCCAATTTGCAAAAAGGATTTTGGAGGATTCAGGGCGGTTAGGGTTAAATGAGACATCAAACAAACAAAAATTCCCATGTTTACCGGTATTTATGAAATATTGACTTTACGTACCTATCTCTTGGTGCATTATGGATGCAAAAGCAACCCAAAATAGAAGCGTATATTCAGAGATTTCAAAACATCCGAAGAAGAAAAAAAGAGTATTTTTTTCTTTTTGCATTTAAGTAAAACATACAAAAAGAATATTCATTAGGAAGAAAAAAAATTGCAGGAGTAGAGCAACTTTAACACAATTCTTGAAGTAGAGATATTGTCTCAAACTGCCCGGTTTCTTTGAAATTTCAATTTACTTTTTCACGCTTCTTGAAGTACAAAAATGGGCTTTGAAATATATTGTTGAGGCAGTAGGGAATCAAATTGATTATTAACCAAACTCCTAGGAAATTATGCATCCATCCTTTTAGAATGCTAAAAAAATATCCTTCTCTGTTCAGGAAATCACTGGCGCAAACTATCAGCGGCTTGGTTATACATGTACCATCCTCAGTCCTACAAAATCCTACAAAGTCCTCCAAAAACCTCCGGATGGATATTGAAGGATCCAGGGAAGACTGATAATGACGATCCTTCCCCCTTTTTTCCCCTTCCGTCCAGATATTTCTTGTGCCTGCAACTGCGCGATGACATCCTGAAGGGTAAGCTGCCCTGTTCCTTGGTCACGCACGCCCTCCTGGGTTCCTACGTGGTGCAGGGAGAGCTCGGTGACTACGACCCGGAGAAACACGGCATTGACGTCAACTACCTGAAGGAGTTCCGCTTTGCTCCCAACCAGGCCCAAGAGCTGGAAGAGAAAGTCATGGAGCTGCACAAGACTCACAAGTGAGACCCTCACTACCCTTTCACAACGTCCAAAAATCTCGGTTTTGGATCCGGGCCGAAACCCAAGTTTTTCAAACCCCTTTCGCGGTAGAAAGAATCCAACACAACTTCTACAGGGGTCCGGTGCTCTAGATGAGTAAAATCCAAACTTGGTCCGGACCGGGGTTGAGAGGCTCTACCCAGGTCAGAAAATCCAAAATCTACGGCCGAACTAAGTACAAACTTGTGTTCAACTCATGCTGGACCTGTGTTGGTTTCAAATGGGTAGTTGAAACGATGGTGTAAAAAAGCCTTTCGAATAGTTAATTTGTTTTTTTAAGCTTGTTGATTGATGTCATGCATTCATTATAGTGCAGGCGAACCTCACTATGATAAACCATTTTCTTCCCTTGTTTTCAGGGGACAGACACCGTCCGAGGCCGACTTGCACTTTCTGGAAAATGCAAAGAAACTTGCGATGTACGGAGTGGACCTCCACCATGCTAGGGTATGTTAACCTTGCTCCTTTCTGGATAAGGGGACAATAGTGTTATGGAGTGGGTATGAAATGTTGTGACGTGTTATGACGATGTTTAAATCCTGTCATAAGCCCGGCCGCCAATAATGGACGTTACGGCTCGGGCCATTATTGGCGACTGGGCCCCTAAACTGGTTTTATATATATATTCTTTTTAACAGGAACAGGAACTGGACCAAGTCCATCAAAATCCATCAATCACTGTGCTTCCAATACAAAACTGTACATGACATAATGGAGTCCACCTCTGATGCACTGGTTGACATTCATGGACTTGCTACACATGGCTTTTATCACAATAGCAGTACAGGAAGCTAGGCAAAATCAAACGGATACCCCTAGGCCATTAGGCCCAGGTCCATCATGCTCCATCAAAGTTTAGCCACGCCAGGCTTCCTGGACCAAGTCCCCCAAAATCCACCCAAATGGGGTATACATTTTGATGGAGTTGGGGATGGTTAGGGTTAAGTTTGTCCTTTTTAAACAAAATTAGTCAGCCTAACATTTTGATTGTGCTAGAATTTGTTATTTTTGTGTTGCCTTTGACAAAGATTCTGCTAGGATCAAAGCGTAAGGTCATCTAATTTTGTTTGATTTGTATATTTCAGATCAATCCAGTCAGCAAGCTGTTTTAACCTGTATTAATGAGAATTGATCTAATTGTTTTGATCAGGATTCGGAAGGCGTTGACATCATGCTTGGAGTGTGCGCTAACGGGCTTCTCATCTACCGCGATCGCCTGAGAATAAACCGCTTCGCTTGGCCCAAGATCCTGAAAATCTCCTACAAGAGGAACAACTTCTACATCAAGATCAGACCAGGAGAGGTAGGAACACTCTAGAAATGAGGGGAAACTGTGAAAATAAGTTTGTTTCCATTTTCCAGTTGGGGAAAAATCAGGGAATTTGGGCAAAATTCCTATTGAAAAAGTATATCAAAAATAATCCGTAATTATATTTTTTTTGATGTTTTTTTTTCACAGTTTGAGCATTTTGAGAGTACTATTGGCTTCAAGCTGGCCAATCATCGAGCAGCCAAACGCCTTTGGAAGGTCTGCGTGGAGCACCACACCTTCTTCAGGTACGCCTCGGATTCATCCAAATGTTTATTCAAGAAACGATCTGGTTGTCTCCTTTAAATACAAAAGTTGGTGTCCTTCCATCTTTGAAGTCGATTCCTTAGAGCAGTTCACCCTTTAGTCACTGTAACGCCCAAAACCGTCCTGCCTTTTACTCACTTTACCGCCCGAAACCGCCCAAGCACTCTGTAGTTTTATTGATTTTTCAGTGAATAAACACAGTGTAATACAATAAACTCCAGGTGCACATAAAATTGCTTAGCACAGAAAATGTTTACTTAAAAGAATCTGGTTACCAACCAAAACATCATGCCGTGTCTATTGCTGGGAACCAGTTCTCTGCTAATTGTTTCTTAGCTGATAAATTCGCTTAGCAGTGTTTTCTGCTTACAGCTCATTGAAATTGGGCCCTTTGAACCAACTCTAACCTTCCCAACTCCATCAAAATCCATCCCCCCCCGTTGGAGGGGATTTTGGCAGACAAGCCATCTGTACCAAGTCCATCAAAATCCACCTGTAGCAGTGGTGGTCTTTTGGTGGATTTCAGTGGATTTGGTCCTGAAGCATGATGTGAGGCAGGGTCAGTAATGGACTTTGGAAAACTTGGTACAGTTCTAAGTAACACTCAGTAGGGAGTAAGGGTTAATTGATGCAAGCCCCCATGTTGAAATACTAAAAAAATGTGTGAAAAAAATTAATTTGATGTTCCGTCACCTAGAATACTTTTTCAGTACAAGATTTGTTCAGGCCAATATGGTTAACAGTCAGTAAATATCCATGTCTGATTGTAATTTTACTTTCTGTAAGGCCGTATGCACAATTTTACAACTCGTTGGCCTCGTACCTATTGACCGATGCATTAAGCCCTTTCCAATGTGTTTTGACCAATCACACCCGTGCTTAATGTCCCACATGCATGCGCAAAAGCCTGATCTGTGCGCACGTTTTGTAGGGCGCGCGCGGCTGGAACATGCAGTGTGCCATTGGAGTGTCGCACTGTGTTGTTGCCAACTGCATATTAGATGGACCTACTGAATCGGTCTCTTACTTGCAATTGACTGATGCGTGACGCCCCGCCCACTGCGCACTCGCCCCTTCCCGATGCCTTACTGCATGTTTCAGACGCGCACGTCTATAAGCAAGTGCATGCATGTCGAACGTTTGTGCTCGCATGCCGGACACGAATCATGGCTGTGATTGGTCAGAGCATCTTAGGGTAAGGCTTACCGGATCGGTCTATTACCCACGGTCTTATGGTTTCCTTTCCCGTCACTGGTGTCCCGCAGACTGGTCTCGCCCGAGCCGCCACCCAAGAGAGCACTCTTCCGTCTAGGCTCCAAATTCCGCTACAGTGGCCGTACGCAGTTCCAGACTCGTCAGGCTAGCTCCACCATCGACCGGGACAACCCACGGTTCAACCGTGCGCTGAGCGGCCGACTGTCTAGGAGCATGGATGGAGGTTAATATTCGAAAAGAGTTCTCTCCACCCCCCCCCCTCCAAACTACCACTCCCCCACCCTGCCTACCCCTTGTCAACTTCCTCAGACTGAATTCATATAAAGCACTTTCACACTGTCAAAAATCTTTACGTTGGACCTATGTCGAATCCCAAAATTTGGGGAACCTGGGGGTTAGAAAATCCAAAATCCATGCCCGACCCAGGTTACAACTCGTTGTGAGTGTGAACGGGCGTGCCTTGCATACCCATGTTCAATTAGACCCAGTTCTTCTCATGGCGGACCCGTGTCGATTACAACGCCGTTAGGCAAGACGATCGTGTGAGAAGGCCTGCAGTTTTGGGTATGGCATCCTGACAAATAACCATTCAAATTGAATTGCTAGTTTTTAAGCAGTTCGTAACTTATGAGCTTTCTTGTGAGAGATGGCACAAAAAAGTTACACATAGATAAATTTGAAACTCCCCACTCTTTGCACAATATTTTGGAAGATCAAAAAAATAAAGCACAGAGTGTATTCAGTGCATTTTCTGTTCAGTATAAAGCGTTTGTCCTTACCTAATCGCGGAGGACATCCGTAAACCACTTTTTTTTTTTTGGCAGCAGAAAACAGACATACCAACTGTGAACTACTGCATATGTGACCTGTTCTGTCAAAATCAGACTTTTCTGGGCATAAGGTCAAAAATGAGATTTTTGCATATTGTTAAAAAATGTTCTTTTTCCTTTTAATAGGTGGTTTAATTTTTGAAACTGGTCATTCCTGGACAGAGTTATGCTATTTTGAAGTTCATCGTGTCGAAAAGTAGAAAACGGAGAACATGGCCACGAAAGTCATAAAACATTAATTTCTTTAACTGATTTACCTTAACAAATCATCAAAAATACTCTATTTAGAGTTCAAATTAGGGTTTCAAACTTTTATAGTATATTTTAGACATGTTCAGGATTACAACTATGCAAAAATTTGAAAATCAAAAAAATCACCCCCACAGCGTTTTTTTTGGCCCTATCTCAATTTCAACCTCTGCCCAGAAGCGTCTGCTTTTGACAGAACAGGTCACATATGATCTTGAATCACTGATAACTGTCTCTCTTTTTTTTCCCAATCAGGTTATGGCGGGCCTATCGACAGGGAGGAGCGTCCGGACGAAGTCATCCTAGCCTCCAAAGCTAGACATGAGGAATCGGAGCGCCCTCGCAGTCAGTTTGAGCAGAACCTGGAGTTCGCCGACAACAACGAAGACGAACAGAAGGTAAGATAAAAACATTTCAAGGATTAGATTTTGGAAAAAATGCTAAGCACAATTATTTTTTTTTCTGTATAAACAGGATCATTATGCTCAATTTCAAACAGAGTTTGTTCCAAGTTTACATTAATTTTCCCAAACACTTGCGCTTTTTACATTTTTTTCTTACGATAACAATTTGCCCGGTTGAGTTTCACATGGCATCAGTTTCGTACAAGAAAATGTTAATTTTGAAGTTTCCATACATGTCAGGTACAGTTTCAGTCAGTCGGGGTGGTCAGCTTGTAGTTGTAAGAATTAACTCCAATTCCTCTTGATCAAACCATTTCTTGTTCAGCATCTTAGAAACCGGACTCCTTTCCAACCAGATAGCAGTGTGATCCTCTCCAAATTCTCCCCACCAAACCTTCTTCAGTTAACCCCCTTTAACAATCAATCTTTTTTTTTCTAACGATGGAGAGATCTAACAAAGTCCCAGAGACTAAATTCTCCCAACTTTTCCTGCAGCCGATGTCATCAAGTGACTAAGGCACGTACCTATATAAACGAATTGATTTACATGTAATACAGTTTCATGTTTTCTTTGGGTTTTCTCAACGAAAAATGCCTCAACTGATTTTAACATCATCGTTAATCTTGTATTAGTTGGATAGTTTTTTCTTGCGACAGCAGTTTTGGACAGGGAATCGAACGTGACCGGATACCATGAAATAACCTTCCTTTAAATTTTTTTTCTAGAGAAAAAGCATACATGTATTCTGCTCTTCAGTTTGTTCATTCAGTTTAACATTTTAATAACCCTCATAAATTTACTGTATGTTCAGTCACAGACAACAGGAAATTCAATCCACTTCCCTCCCATAGCTTATACACATATGCTAGTCACCAACAGTCAGATCATATTTCAAGTATTATTATTATGAATTATTATTAATCATTTCTGGTAATGAAACCAAGGATTCCTCAAAGCGCCCTAGGCACTGTAGCTCGCAAGCCTGAAGAAACCTGTGGAGAGAAGACAATGAGAAGAAGTTACAGTTTTAGAGGTGGGAGGAAAAGCCCAGAAGAATATTCTGGGGAAAACCCACGGAATCAGGCAGGGACTGAAAAGTAGGCACTGTGACTAGTCAAATTCCATCAACAGACAAAAGCAAATATATGGTACATGTAGGTACAGCTGTCTTATCAATCTACTACACTCAAAGCATAGCTGTATCTAGGTGCATAAACAGTCACAGCCAGTCAATCCTGCTTTATGTAGGGAGCATTTAAGTGTTAAAAGGTCACTCGGTTGATTTTTACTGCAGGGATGGCTATGTTGAATTTGCCAACCAGAGAGGGAGGGATTTTAATACATGTGCCCCATGACAATGTTTGTGGGGGAAAATGTTTACCATTTCTATTGTGCAAGACTTGTGAAAAGGGCACGTTGCTTGAAAGTGGCTCTGCCAATTTTCGGTTCATTTTGTCGGGATTGGGTCGCAGAATGTCTGTCCTTGCTCCCTCACGGCCGTGATTTTCTTTGTGATTCGGTCAAAAAGTTGCATTATGTCGACTCGGACGACGAAGAAAAAGACAAGGATGCAACCGAGGAAAAAGATGCAAACAAAGACAATGAAGGATTGAAAGATGTTCCCAAACAGGACGGGGTAGGTCAAAAGGTCACAGTGCTTTCTGAATGCTGCGTGAATATGCATAACCTGATAATTAGCATATTAACCAGAATGCATTGCTTGGTTGAGAAAAGCTCGCAAGAAGAGCTTCAATTGTGATACCTTTTTTTTCATGTAGATATTTGTTTAAATCTTTTAGGAATTCAATTTAAAGGGAATATACAACATTTGCAAACATCAAAAAACTAAAACTACCAAATTATTATGAAATACCTTACTAGCCTGTTAGTGAATGACAGTCTAAAGCATTCTGTAAAATCGTGGCACCTGGTGTGCTGACATTTTCAAGAAAAGTGGTATTTTTGTATCAAACGTGTTTTTTTTTCAAATAGCATGAATAGTGCTCCCAATTTATCATATTTAGTTGGTCCGCATTTTGTTTGCAATCGATTACACACCTACAGATGGGTACAAGCCAGCTAGACTGGTTCCCCGACCTTATAATTCCCAGACGTCTATAAATTGCTCCGTTTCATGTTAAGTGTGGTCAGGGAACCAGACTACAAGAACATGATTGTTTTTCTTGGTTTTTCCAGCCGCTACGAACCCAAAACTTCAAACAAGTCAGTGTAACAATATTTGCAAATGTTGTATATTCCCTTTAACTTTTGATTTAAAAGCATCTGTAATTTTCACAAAGACATTTTTCAATAAAGATTCTATTTTTGGTCTCTCTTAGAGAATGTTTATTATTTCTTTGTAGTTGTTTTTTTTGTAGAAATATGCCTCATTCTAAAGACTGTTTTTTTGCACACAGTAGTATTCAACATTTTATTAGAATTGTTGGATTTACTTATAAAAAGTATTTCAAAGCTGTTAAACTTTGTCATGCTTGCATTTTGCTGTTTGATGAAAAAAGCCGTTAAGAATTTAATAATGATTTTTTTCCTTGAAGGGTTGGTTGCCTAATATTTCTTGCACAGCAGAGATTTTGGAAAGACTCCTGCTGCTTTTGCAATGAGATGTTTTTGTAAATTGATGCGCATGCAGGTTTTTAATTTAACATTCGTAGTTTTTTTCCCTTCAGTTTCTAGCTTTTCATTATAAGATTTGCCACACAGAATCTGACTGCATTTCTAGCTTTAGCTTGTTTAGCATAGAGTTACACTTAGCACATCACAGCATTGCAAAGTACCTCAATTAAAGATACTACATTTGTACCACTTAAAGGTAGAGTATATCATGTGCAGTTATCCAAATAGTAACTTACAAGATTACTGTTGAAAAGTATACTTGGTTTAAAGATATTAAATGGCACTAAACTCCCTGTGAAAATATTCTTTCTGGCACGCCGTCATTTTGAAGCAAAAATAAAAGGTCATTTCCAAAGATGCGTCTAAAGACGCAATTTTGAAAATTTCTGTCAGTAATTTGTTTTGAATTCAGCGAAGCTGTCGTGTTGACACTACGCGCGCGCGGTTGCTGTAATTCGTTGGTTCAGTGCGTGACATCGCATAGCTGCAATCGGCTGAATGAGAATGTGTCCCGGACGCTGATTTCGGGCGCAATTCAAAACATGACTTGGCAACATCTGAATTGAAATCCACATCCTAGAATATTGTTTTCTCAGAATATACAGCATTCACTGAGCTAAAAGTTCATCAGGTTAGTTGTTCAGCACCCTTCTTTAGATTTTGAGCACTTTTGTTATTTCAAACGAAAAACAAAATGCACAAATGACAAATGATATACTCTACCTTTAAATAATTTTCTAGTAACTTTGAAGGAAAGTAAAATGGTCTTTATTGAATTGCGGGTTTTGAACCGTCACCAATGGGTTTTCAGTGTCTGCCTGCCACTGTGCCTGGAAGACGTCCATAAGCTATTTTATAGACCAAAGTAAAACTAAGTAGTTGGGTCTCTGGAACTTACATTAAGCGGTCTCGGGTTCATACCCGAAGTGACATACGTTTGCAGTGGAATGTCGCTATACCGAACACCGCTATACGCTATACCGAACATCGTCCTTGGCTCCCGATTTTTGTGTACAAAACCAACCGAACATTGTTGTTGAAAACCGTCAACGGATGAGCGACAAGTTGCTATTATTTCCCCATGGCATAGAAGGGGAAAGCCACCCATCGATGTAGGTAGTAAGCGCAAAACTGTGTAATTACATAATTCAATAGTCGGCACGTGTTCGAAGAAGTCTTTCAGTAACTACCTGGGCGTGCAGGGTGAAGTTATGAAGTGCGCCATTTATTGAAAAGTGAGTACCGGAGCACAGGCAGCATAAAATCGCTATACCGAGCGATCACTATTACGAACATTATATGTGGATCCCGCGATGTTCGTTATAGCGGCGTTCCACTGTATTATCCCTTATTCTTATCTTACATGTTACTGAGAGAAGCCTCCATTTTCAAGTTTCATCTAAATTTGTTTTTCTCTTTCTCTTGCTTTCTGAGACTTAATTAGACTCCTTCCCAATTTTCCTACTCCCGCCCCTCTTCAAATCCTCCAACTTTTCAACCCTGAATTCGCCCCGTGCTCTCGCCTTTTGATTTGATACCCTGAAAATCTACATTTCTGAAGGAAATATCGGGCCACTTTCCGAGTTGGTATAAAATGAAACTCACTGTGATGATTCATTTATTTTATGAATATCCGGAATGAAAGTCTATTGTTCCCTCGTCCAATAGAAAATACAAGTTGATATTTCCTGAACTCTTTCCTGAACAGAATGTGTCCTGGTGTCAAGTTCAACACAAACGAAAAAAATGATATAAATCAAGAGTAAAATGAAAAATCAAGTTTCACACTGGCAAACTTTCTCTCTGACCTGTCCTTTCACAGAAAACAAAAGAAACAGTTTTAGTTGAGATATTTTTTTTTATATACTGGGGTTTGATTGAAAAAGCAGACTTTTCCTTACCAGTTGACTGCAAAGCAAAGCTTAACGCTTGCCTCTTTCAGTTTCGTTTTTTTTTTTTTTTTTTTACTGTTTTTGTTGCAAAAGTAATCATCTTTTTTTGGCTGCATGAAGCTGATGTGCAACCTTTCTTCCAATGTTTTTTTTTTCCTGATTCTATCCCGTTCCAAAACTCACCAGTAACTTCAGATAATGAATCTCTAATTCTTCCATGTTTGCATCGGTTGGAGAAATCAACTTTCTTTTCTCTGCCACAGTGCTACACGAACAATGTACACTTTGTTCCAGATGCCATCAATCGTCGGATTTGTCTGGCTCTCGGCCATCTTGGTCTTGTACCCAGAGTGCGCAAGGAGACCTCAGTACAGATCTCTGATCATCTCTCATCACATCATCGGCACCAGCCTACTTTAGAAAGAACCCCGTCATGAGGCTCAAACAGTTGTGCTTTGAAGGAAAAAAGAAGAAGCTTCATTATTTATATGGCTGGTCTAGTACCCATCTTAGCTAAAATTCCAATCTACTGGTATCAGTGCTGATATTTAAGCCACAAAAAAAAGCCTTTTCTTGTTTATCTTCTGACATTTCTTTTGTTTACCAAATGCTTCCTACTTCTGCCTCCCACTCCCCTTATGCTCACTTAGTCCCAGGATCACGACATTACGTCCGACGAAGGTGATTACGACGGCGTCGATCCGGAGATGGCCGAGAAATTTGAGGAGATCAAGATGTCCTACTTTTCGGTCGGTTACACAAATCGTTTTGTCTGTCCCCTTCGTTCGTGAAAACTAAAAACCCAATCCTCCTCTCCCTATCAGCTGAGTGTCGTTACATCCGTGTTATTGGTCACCCGAAACACGCCCTCTTGTGGAGTTTTGTAGTCAGTTTATTTTTTTTAATTTTATTTTTGGTGAGCACAAGTTGCTCTATGATGAGTTCACCATTGTTAGCATGTTTCCTTAATTGGCCATATTTCTGAACAATGGAGGGCGTTGCAACGTTTCCGTCTATAGGGGTACGACCAGCAACGTTATTGATGTAACTTAACGCATTACTTACAGCTCAAAAATTACAATCAAATTTTGGGTATATTTAAAGGTAATACATTTATACAACATTTGCGAACATCGAAAAACCAAAACTACCAAATTATTATGGCATACCTTATTTGACTGTAAGTGAATAATAGTCTCGGGCATCCTGTGAAATCATGGCAACTGGTGTGCTGTCATTTTCAAGAAAAGTGGAATTTTTGTAACTTTGGTTGACCATTGTTGGAAAAAAACCTCACTTTTAAATACGGCGCCCAATTTACCAAATTTAGTTTGTCCACATTTTGTTTGTAGTCGGTTACACATCCGTGAACAGGTGCAAGCCAGCTAGTCTGGTTCCCTTACCTGACAATTCCCAGACGTCTTTAAATTGCTCTGTTTTGTCGGAGGTAGGGTCAGGGAACCAGACTACAAGAACAGCATTATTTTCATTGGTTTTGCCAGCATCTATGAACACAAAACTTTCAACAGGTCAGCGTTTAAAGTTTGCTGTAAGATACCATTCCTGAAAATTACAGCAAAAGCAAATATTGTATATTACCTCTGAAGTGCTTCAGTAGAAGGGATTTTACCGGCATTATTCACCCAGAAAAAGGCATCGTTGCCGCGCTCTTATTTGCTTAAAAATATGGCCTAGTTGAGCATGGATTTGTGTTTAAAGGTTTAAAGACGCGACACCTGCATGGAGTGAATATTAGAACTAAAATATGCTTTCCAAATTTTGGGTGAAAATCTTTTGCCATCCCCTTTAAAAAAAAAAAGAAGGGAAAATCAATCAACATGAAGTAAAAGTTACGATAATTTAGTTTCTTAAATGCGTTTGTTGTATAAACTCTCCTGTTATTTAGGGAGTTGAAATGATACTGAAATATTTGTCGGAGGTATTATTTGTGTATTCCATATTACAGAACAAACAAAGAAAGAGAATGTATCATCAGCATTTTCAGAATTTCAATGAACTGCCCATAAAATATTTACAATTGGTGGACTTGCATGTTTTTAAAGTTTTTTTTGTGTAAAGTGTGTTATTTTATTTTCAGCTCCCATTTCCTGCTTTCTTTTCTTTTAGTTTCAATAATGCATCCAAAGTGAATATTGTGTTGGTCTTTATGTACAAACTTTCAAAATACATGTACATCTGTTTAATTTTGTGCAAACATGTCAGTGTTTTTGTAAGTTTGCCAAACCACATATGGTTTGTTTGTTTTTCCCAATGAATGTCACTTTCAGTTTGCAAATGCTGCAGGCAGGTTGCTGAGAAAAAAGACGTCCCTGAATCAGTGCCCTGCGATTATAGTTTCAGTCTTTCTAAGTATTTTCATCTTTAAACTTGCTCTGCTTGCTGTGTTTCGTAAATGCTGTATAAAGCTGTATTCAATTGTTGCGATGCAAAATTCACCATAAAACAAATTATTTCCAACCCAAATCTTCCACAGTCCCCTTCTCAATTGGTGTCTTAAATTTCCCTGTTTGGCCTATTTTTTTTAATTTTTATAATTTTTACTTTTGCGTATTAGATATCACCCACTTTCAAAAGTCACATTAGGTATTACATTGTACATTAATTCTTGAAAATGTAACCCGCCCGCCTGTGTGATAATGTCATTCCAGTTGATGGAAGTCCAGAACCTAGACCATTCCCCAACCCCCTCAATTCCTCTCTGTGTGCCTTTTTCTCTACCTCTCTGTCACATCTTTTTTTATTATTTGATATTTCTTGTATTTCCTTCATCCTCTAGTCTGAATTTCAGCCTCTTCTCGTTTCTTTCTACTAACTTTTTCAGTTTTATGATTTGACAAACTTTGTTCTTCATAGGTTAATCCAGTGTGTCACACTGAAAACAAAAATTGAAATCTTACTAAAAGTTGCAAGAACTCTTACTCCTTTAGGTATTGGAAATTTAAAGGGGTCCTGAGATGAATTAAACCTAGGAACACAGTTTGTGCAACTTTTATGCTCTTAAATGTATAAAAACTATTTGACATCCCTTTTTAGTTAATTTTATTGAAAAGTGCACTTCTTGAAACATTTAAAATTCTCTATGCTTTTCCGGACAACTGAGGGCGCTGTTGCTGTGATGTCATTTCAGGAAGACACTTTACAGTTTAGGGTTTTCTGTTCAAACTGCGAACCCAAAAATGTGTTCATTGTAAACATTTGTGAGAAATGTTTGCACATTGGCTTACTGCCATGTACTGATACAACGAATCACCAATGAAAAGAAAATTTACGACGGCAAAATATCAAAAATTCTGGCAACTTTTGGTGCTGAAATAGCTGTAAGATTGAGGTTTCTGCCTGAAATAACATCACACTTTTGCTCATGAATATGGAAAATGGCAATAGCATAAAAATCAAAAAGGCACAAAATATCCTTTTAAATGGCAAAACGGAAACTGAAAATAAGCTTACATGGGATACAAAGGTGCATTTTCAAGGCTTGCATTAAAAGAATTACATTGCATGACCCTTTAAACTTTTGTGGCCAAAGACAGTGTGGCATACCGGACGATCAGAAATGATAGTGTTTAATGAGTTTGATTTATGTTGCATTCATTTAAATCCTTAGCATGATTTTTAACTTTTGATTATTTTACTTTTTTTGTTGTTCATCCTTGGAAGCACTCACCAAGAATTTATCCAACCCCTTTCTCTCTCTTTCAGGAATGATGTTTTTCTCGCGTTTTTAATCACTTTTGTTTCAGCAAACTGAAACAAATTGAATGCATTTTTGTGAGGGTTTTATAAATACCTCATTTACGGTTTCTCCGATGTTAACTTCTGTCCAAACGAAAACTTGTTCAGAAGGGAAAGTCGTGTGGGCTTCATGCGCAAACAAGAGAGGGCGCTTTTTTTTAACTTACGCACACAGCGTGTGCGTAATAGGTCACCTGCGTATAGCGCAAATTATGCACAACTAATTATATCCTGAATGCGCACAAAGCCACGGCGTCTGCGCATGAGCGTCGGGCGTCGTCAGCAATGCATTTGAATGTCTCTCCCAGTGGTCTCCCCCTACTCTCCCTTTCTTACCGTTGTTGGTGTACTTGTGCACGGAGCCCATAGGAGAAGGCACTGTCGCGATCTTTAAGCATGTCTAGAACAAAGTTTCTTTGAAATGAAGATTTGATTGCATGCAAAGGTGTATTTATAAAAGGTTCTTTCAATATAATTTGTTTCCCTTTGACGGTAAACACAAAGTTTGTGAATACTACTATTATGGAATAATGCAACGGAAGCATTGTGATAGCTTTTGTTTAGAATGGACCTCATGCACAAACAGTGGAGGGAGGTTTGCGACCACTTTTGAAAGTTCCGGGGGGGGGGGGGGCAACACCCCGTTAGCATACTGGTTCGTGGACGTGTTGCGCAAAGTACAAACGACTAATTTATTCTATAAAGTGAGCATCACAAACCAGTTGCATCTTCGCGTTAGCATTAGGTGCCAATGCTTGCTTTTCAACATCTGTTCCAGGGGTCTCCCCCAACTTTATGCGCCAACAAAAGAGGGCGCCCTTTTAGCTAGCAACAAATCCCATGGGCGGGATACATACATTTCACTGATTGACGTGCGCGCACCGTTCCTTGTGTGTGACGCACGTACAACAGGGGATTTGTACTATGTACACGCAGTGGCTGCGCTTCGGGGCGAAATGTTGCAGTAAGGCAAGATGGCGTCGTTCGGTCACCCCCAACTGTTCCGGTACCTTATTTGCCGGTGAGGGGGTACTTGTGAACGGAGCGGATACCCCCATGAAGCAGTAGTTTTGTACGATGGACTCTGCGCAAACAGTAGATGGCGCTTTGCGATCACTTTCAGAAGCTCCAGTGGGGGCGACACACTCCATGCATTCACTGGTACATGGCCTGTGTGTGATTGGCGCAAAGTACCAGTACGCGCGATTTATTTTATTCCGATTGACTCTCCAAGTGGTCTTCCCCAACTCTCCCTTTGTAACTCTTTGGGGTGCTCGTGCACGGAGTCCATAACTAGCACAGTGCTTCCGCCATTACTGGGGGTCGTCTGTGAATGTATCATGATTCCGTGCCCAAAACCATCACCAGTTTATTCTGTAATATTTTATGAAACTTTCTTCGTCTTTCGGTTTCACAGAGATCAGCCGATGACGTCGCTGCGAGCAAGCCAGAGGAGGAACAACAGCAATTCACCGGCCCTGACGACGAGGATTTCGAGATGCAGCCGGGCCAGACTAGGTACCAGACCACGACCACTACCACCACCACCAAGACTATGTACAAAGTGGAGAGAACCGGGGACGAGGTAGGGCACCAGACTAAGTCAACTCATTCCGACTATAAATAAGATTGTCTGGAGACCAAGGGGATTTACCAGATCTGGACTTCGTGACTTCGTCAAATTTTGGAGCCCCGATCAAAATAATTCTATGGACAAGAATAGTAAACGTTTTGTAGATATTTTAAAAGGAACTTCCCTTCTTACATTTCATTCAGTGCATGAAAGCATGTGTGTATCGATGTGCGTATCGATGTGCGTAGTGCATTGGAAAAGTCTTGTGAACATTTGTACAGCATTTGCACAAGCTAAAGTACTTTTAGTTTATACTTGAATACCTTTGAACAGGGCATAGTAGTTTGAACAATTACAAATAATCACTCTCTTTTATTCCAACATTTCTTGTCGCAAATATGATAACTGACAAAGCACATGTTGCAGTAGCACAACGATACTACTTGACTAGATTAAAAACTTTGATTTTAAAAAAAAATGAATAAAATATACTCAGCCATCTGATTCGGCCCTTTTTCTGAGAAAAAAAATTAGCACTTTTCAACAAAAATAATCTCAAAATGATTGGGCATTAATCCTAACCCTAAATGCAACAGAATGCAACGGCACTAAAACGTTGTTGCAAGTTGTTGCATTTAGCAGCCAGCTCAAGTCCCCGTGCTGTTGCATCTTGTTGCACTTAGCAGGGTAACTGCTCATAGGCTCAAGGCAATACAACAGAATCCACTGTTGCAGTTTGGTTGCATTAGCAGGGTAACTGCTTGGTGCCAAGGCTGGTATGCACCGGGTTCACTGCACAATGCAACAGAATCAACTGTTGCAGTTTGTTGCATTTAGCAGGGTAACTGCTTGGTGCCAAGGCTGGTATGCACTGGGTTCACTGCATAATGCAACAGAATCAACTGTTGCAGTTTGTTGCATTTAGCAGGGTACGCATTGGACTTGAGTTGAATATTGTTGCATTAGCAGGGTACCTGAAGAATAGGGTCAATATAAAGGTTTCCATTGTACCAGTGTGCTTGATAATGCAACTTATTAAAAAAGAAATTATATAAAACAAAATGATTCCACCTCTGATTCAGCCCTCTGCATAAAAAAGAAGAAGCATGTTTTCAAAAAAAAAATTAATGATTGGACATTGGTATAAAGGTTTCCGTGGTAACAGTGTGCTTGATAATGCAACTTATTGAACCAAAACAGCCCGGTCAGCTTCTGGAAGGGGAACCTGTCCTATTAGAGCCGTCGATGGAGGAGGCCCCTACCACCGTCACCACTAACGTCAACACGTTCGTTAGCGTCAGCCCAGAAACCTATCAAGAGGTATAAAATCCTTGTGTCGCACGGCGGTCTTCCATTCTACAAAAAACACTTCTCACCCTCTCGCACCATTTCTCCTTAACCTTTCATTTTCTACCTCGTCACATCATTAACAGAAAAGTTTCCTCGATTTGGTTTTTTTTAAGGACGTATTTGGTTCATGGGTTATTCACAGGCAGAGTTTCATCAGCACAGAAAAGGAAAGGCTGAACCTCTCAGTTTTTCTTTTTTTACATTACTTTGGCAAGATTGAAGGTCACTTTTGATGCGGAGACTGTATAGTTAGCTATACAGACCTCACATGCCATGGTAAACCTCACAAACCTCATGGTTAATCACACAGACCTCATAGTTTACCTCACAAAGAAGTGGTAAACGTTGCAAACCTAATGGTAAATCACACGAACTTCATGGTGTACCTCACAGAGGCCATTGTTAACCTCGCAAACCCAGTGGTTAATCACTAACCTCATGGTTTACATGTGTACATTTACCAAAGCCATATTAAACCTTGAAGCCTCGGGGTTAATCATACGAACCTCATTCTTTTCCTCAGAAAGCCATGGTAAACCTCGCAAACCTCGAGCTTAATCGCACAAACCTCACGGTTTGGTTTACCTGAAAAAGCAATGGTTAACCTTGCAAACCTCAAGGTTAATAACACAAACCTCATGATTACCTCACAAACCTTAGGTTAAATTCTCTATTTCTCCGACAATTTCATCCCCAAATGTATATAATAACTCTAATCAGGTCCATCTCAAAAGACAATTAGACAGAATTGCCAAATTGATTAAAGACATGACTTCTATAAAGAGGAAGACACTGACTAGGTCAACTGGAAAAAAAAATTGCTGAGACTTTTTTCCAAAGGACTTCCGATATCTACAGATCTACACTAAGCATACAAAAAATGGCAAAACTATAAGCAAGTCATTGATTTAATTAAAGCACAATAAATTATTAATTGGCAGCACGCTGTCCCTGTAATAATACTTTCGCTTGCAATTCTTAAAATCTTGGGGGGGGGGGAAAATTGCATACAGATTTATTACAAAAAGCACTTTCTGATCTTTTTCCAAACTGCACAGTGCATGCAAACATAAAACCATCACCACTCTCTCGGTATTAACACACACCACTGCCGAAGAAAACTGCGTCCGAAAAATTCACTTGTCACCGTTTTATCAATTACTAATACATACACATGTTGTCATGACAACAGAGAACCTCGTACACATTTTGTTTGGGCGATGAGGCTGCACGCAACATACATAATGGCATTTGGGACGAGATCATCATTGAAAATCTCTCGAGAGAATCCAATTAACAGTACATGACTCATCGCCAAAAAAAATGACTCATCTAATACGCACCTTATTTCACTTCAATTCCCGCATCTATTTGAGACGCAGGTCCAGTCATTCATTAAAATGCACCGCCTGATCGACTTATGTCAATCTGCACTTTCACATGAGAACACGTCATCGGGTGTACTTTTGTGTTATCATAATTTCCCATAAACAGTAAATTTATAAAAACACAACATCAGTTCCCGACTTGGTGCAAGCAATCGGGTGAAGGCAATGCTCAAACAAATTTATTTGTGAGCTTAAATTATGACTTGAAGTCAGTCATTATGAGTATGTGGTGTTGAGATGATGAGGGCACATTATTTTTTTTTAAATTTTATTTGGTCAGAAAGATTTTATTTGGTCTGGGTAACTCAAGAAATTATTACAAAACTAGGGGGAACTTAGCTCCTTTGTATTATCGATACATTTTTTTTTTGAATTTTATTTGGTCAGAAAGATTTTATTTGGTCTGGGTAGCTCAAGAAATTTTTACAAAACTAGGGGGAACTTAGCTCCTTTGTATTATCGATCTGCAATAAAAAAAAAAGAAGTAAAGTAACGTATTGTGGCGGGGGGGGGGGGGGGGCTTAATTCTCGGCTAAATGAAGTTTTGGAAAGTCTAAAAGTCCAATAGCCAGTACTCACCCAGGAAATTGATTTCTAATTACATGTACGTGTTCTGAAACGCTGGTTTTAAAGGTTATACCATATCTTTACATTCAGACAAGACATTACCATAGACAGATTTGAAAAGAGACTACAGGACAAAGGGAAAGTATTATATCACCTGTATTGTGTGACATGACCAAACCCCATCCCCTTCCGTGTGTTGTAGCCTCCTCCGCAGCCTGTGGTTGAAGGAGACGTCGCCGTCATGAAACGTCTTGACGACTACTCTGAGGTGGGCTCAAGTTGGCTTAACTCGCACAACTCTGGTGGAGTGTTGCACTCAATTTCAACAATAATAATCTCGCACCATTTTGTATCTACCCTTGTACACAGTGCACCTTTTCTCATCCTGTAAAAAAAAAAAAAACACGTAAATGTTTAAACTGTAGAAGGGTAGAAGGTTTCGAGATTTGTAGTGTGGCAGTCGTGAATGTAGAATGTGAAATCGAAAAGCTCTAACATTTGGCAAAACATTGGAGTGTTAGAACTGATAGAGCTTAATGTACATGTACTCTTATTATCTGTGTGAAACAAAAAGTGTTTTCTTGTATGCTTCTACAGCAGTGTGTTCTCTGAAGCATCATTTGGCTCGCTGAGATTTCACAGTTTGCAGTTTGTGGCTGGGCTGATTTTGCGGCACGAGTTAGCTGAAAAGTTGTTTTAAATGCAGCAGGCAATTTGTGCTATGTACTTCACGCGAATGTGAATGCAAAGTCAATTTGACATCATGAAACGTTCACTGCGGAATTCGCCGGAGTTGTGATCAACTTTTGTTAATTCGCAGCGTGAATACGTGCTGTGGCGTCACAAATTCGTGTTCACATTTGCTGTAATGCCGAGTGTGGAGTACCGAAGTGTGACGTCATTTAGAACCAGAAAGTGTAGTGCAAACGAATGGAGTACGCGCACATGTTGGTTCTCGGGCCGAATCATGCGCTAAAATCTTTTACACACACATTGTGCACGTGATGTATTCACTTCAATACTCTATAAAGCGTCCTTTAAGTATATTTTTATGGCATACATGTCTTGATGAGTGTGTTCGCAGGAAGATTTCTGCTTCTAAATTTAGCGTCCTTTCCGCAAATTCTTCGTGAAATTGACAAAAGTTTTCGAGAAATTCCTAGCAGTGCCGTGAAATTGTGCCCAGATCTTTCAACAGCTAACCCATGTTTCTTCTGAGCTTTTCATGTCATTTGATTTCATACTAACCTATTCATTTCTTGCAGAGTTGGCTGTACTAATACACTTTTCAAATTCAGGTATAACGCACCAGTGTCTTGGAACTTTCGTCAGAACAATTTTTGAAATTGCAAATTCGTTGTGGAAATGAAAATAACTTCCTGTAAAATTTCGTATTGTTTGGCCGTATTACCGTTGACCATTTTGAAAACAAAATTTCACTTGCAGAAAAATTATCAAAGAGGTTGTCCAGTGTGTAAGTGTACATGTGACTTTCATCAATTTTATGGTTAATTTTTTTTAAAGAAGGTTTCCAAGAAACAGTTTTTAAGGTTTGAAAATTTGTGGCTAGTTTTTTTTACAAGCAAAACACTTCTGTCATACTTTGGCTCATTAACATCAAGATCGTTTAAATCTGTCGTCACTGACAAGTAAAGGAATTTTGCACGGGGCTTTTTTTTTAATCAACAAGAATTTCTCATATACCTATCAAAGATGTGTAGTGTTTTTATTGGTTTATTGTTAATGTAAACACTGCAAAAAAACCAAAGTCCACGCTCATTGGAGTGGTCAAAATTTTAAATCGGATCGTCTTATAATAAAATCATGTAATACACCTTTGGGGCATGTTGTTAGCTACATTTTTTGGTACCCTGTTTGCTACCACAGACTGTAAATTGTTCAACATTGACAACGGTTTATGAACAATGATGCCGTTTGAAAAGTTGCAAATTTAAAGAATACGCAAGTGGAAATTGCTGCATGACAATGTCACACTGTCTGAACGAATGGCCGGGTATACCAATCGCACACTGCTTGCATGCATGAGAGCACGCGAATTGAATTACCCGCACTTTGTTCAGACACTGTGCAGTCGATAGGGGCCAATTACATGTAATTACGGGTATACATGTATGTGGTGACGCTAAGCAATTTTTCCTCGCGTATTCTTTAAATTAGCAGCTTTTCAAACTGCATCGTCTCCTGACGATGACTAGAGCAGGCTAGTCGAAACGTTGAGACCAAAGACAAGTTCGTTTAGGACTTACAGCAGGACTGTTCTTAACAGAACAAAAAACTACTTAGCAAAGTTGATAATAAGCAGGACAAGTTCTTCTCAGAACTAATATCTTCTAAGCAGTAGTTATTACCACATGGTGTTACTGCAAACCGAAACGATACCGATACCCCACCATGCAAAGCCTCAAATCTTATATGCATCATTTTTCATAAATCGTTGTCAATGTTGGACGATTTATAATCTTTGGTACATGTACCGGTAGCAAACGTGGTATCAAAATGTAGCTAACAACATCCCAAAAGGTCTATATAAATGACGTCATCATAAGGCGATCAGATCCCTCCAATGAATGTGGACTTTCTTTGTTTGTGGTGTTTATGTAAACTATACATACGGCAGGTGTCATTGGTCATTGATTGTATTCGAATAATTATGGTTGCAGTTTCTGTGATCTCTTTGTTTTACTAACGGGAGAGTCTATTCATAACTTCATCCACATGTCACCTTCCTTCGATTGCTGTCAAAGCTATGACAGTGTTTTTACTGCACATCCTTCATCATGCTTGCCTAATACAATTAACCACACGTTGACAAAACAACCCATTCTTAAACCAGTAACGTTTTCATCAGGTATTGGTCGAATATGAGGCATCAGAGAATTTCAGGGGTTGTCCTTTTAAACTGCCCACCCGTAATCATTGTGCATGTAAGAGGTTTTGTCGTGGTTGCGCATGAAAAATGCGCAGCCGAGTGGCCACCAACATTTTTTGAAGTGAAAAAGCTTTGTTGTAAGGCTTATTCACAAAATTGAAATGGCCGCATGTTTTTTTTTAGCCCATCATTGAATTAAACTTGTCATAATTTTAAAGTTTCCCGATATGTTTTGGGATTTGAGAAAGCTTAATAAGTTTCTTGCAGTGTGGCTAATAATGAACAGTTTGCAGTGCTTAAAAATGACGTTTTCTTAATAGCTTTTTGAAGGAGTTTTATTGGGGTCCATCCATAGAGCTATATTAAATTACTTGAGCGCTGACTAATGTACAAAGTGATGCCTGCTGGGCGCATCGATGTTTGTGCACAAACATATGGAAAACTCAAAATTTTGTACGGCCTTTGTACGGCTATTTGCATATCTGCGTTTGTATTCCATACTGGTGCGTCATCGAAACCGATACGCCCAAAACCAAAACGCACGATCAGCAAAAGAGTGTGTCATTTTGCTCTATGCAAAGAGCCCAACGCGTATGCGTATCCGCTGTAGATGAATAACCAATGAGGCGCTTAAGTTGGTTGCGTACGTTCTACTTGCGCGTTGTATTTACATGTAGAGTACACTTTCAAAATTCAATCCATCTAAATTTCATTATGTTCTACAAACACACACATGAATTCAAAATGTCTGTGCCCAGGACGGCTTCAAAGCGTCTCCGCGCGCAAGAATGAGGAGTTAGCGCTCTAGTAATTTAATATACATTTTTGTAGCTCTATGGGTCCGTCACAAGTCAAATTACATGTCTAGTCACGTCACATTTAAAAGGGGACGAACAGTGACAAAGAAGTACTTTTTCAAAGTTCATTTCCGTTGCCTGTGACTTGACTTGAGCGTTGCGATTTGACGGTGCTGAAGTTTAGCCTATCACAAGTCCTGTTACAAGTGAATTCACGATTCCAGTCACAAGTACCGTGGATTGAACAATCACAAATGACTACGTTTGTCAAAGTTCATTTGAATTACTTGTTACCTGAGGATTTGTGATACGTGGTGCTTACCGGTATATAGCGCTTGATAGCAAAGGTCTCATAGCACTTCACAGTTATTCCCCCTGTTCACCAGGCCATGAGACCAGTTTTTGCAGCAGCTCGAGATCAGCGCATTCTGGTATCTACCTAAACTTCACAGGTACCCATTTATACTCCCGGGTGGAGAGAGGCAATTGTAGTCAAGTGTCTTGCCCAAGAACACAAAGCACCACATTCCCCGTCGGGGTTCGATCCCACGCACCACGGCACACGAGTCAAAAACAGTAATCATTGGACCACAGCGCTCCACCAGCGCTCCTTGTCGGTCGCAAGTCAGTTACAACTCAAATTACAAGTCGGTCACAAGTCAGGTCAAAAGTCAATCAAACATGTAGCTTGCCTCTTTAGTTTTTTTAAGTGAATCACAATTCAAAGCACAAGCCCAATAACGGGATTACCAATGACCAAGGTGTAGGTCACAATTCTTTTGAATAGCTTGTGACTTGACTTGAGACTGGATGTCTTGTGATAAACTTGTGACAACTCAAATTAAAACTCTGAGGGTGGAAAGAGCCTTTACTTGTGAGGACTTGTGGTGACTTATGATGGACTCGACTACAACAATGATCACAAGTCAAGTCCAGACATAGATGCAATTAACAGGAGATGAAGAGTGACAAAGGCATTACCTTTTCGCAGCTCATTCCAGTTGCTTGTGACTTGAGACGTAAAGACTTGATTGACTTTTCACCTGTAAAAAGTTTTTGGTGATTTGTTTTTTCATTTACAACCTAAATTTTTTCAATACAGCCCCCAGCTGAAGACGATGAAATGGTAGCCGCCGCCGCCTCCGAAGGCGAAGAACCCTACGTCAAGACGGCGACCATCGTCCAGCAAGGCGGTCCCGACGAGAACTCGCAGTTCACCCACGACGTGCCCTACGTCCAGACCGAGAACACGACCATCACGTACGAGCGGGAGGAGCCGGATAATAGCCTAGACGACTCAGGCATGTTGGTGAGCGCTCAGACATTGACAAGCGAGGGCCATACCACCACCACCACCACACACATTACGCGGGTATGTAACCATCAGAGAGAGAGAAAATATCAGTTGTAGAAGGGGTCGGCAGAATTGTATAAATCAGTCACAAGTCAGTCACAAGTCAGTCACAAGTCAATCATAAGCCAGTTCTACATGTATAGTGAATCAAAGTTCAAATGACAAGTCAAGAGCAACTCAAATCACCAGTCGGTCACAAGTCAAATCACAAGTTGATCGAATATTTCAGGTCACAAGTCAATCATAAGCCAGTCCTTTGGTTAATCAACAATCCATATTGCAAGTCAGGCACAACTCAAATCACAAGTCCAATAACGGGATTACCAATGACCAAGATAGGTCACAATTCTTTTGAATAGCTTGTGACTTGACTCGAGACTGGATGTCTTGTGATGAACTTGTGACAACTCAATTAAAACTCTGAAGGTTTAAAGAGCCTTTACTCCGGTTGAGATTCTGTTAAGAAATCTGATGATTTTGGCACGAAGGAAATAATGGCACATGATATTTGGGATTTCAATAAAAAAATCCGTCAAACTTTTCCTTCATGCAACACATGAAGGCATGGATTATCTGATTGTCAGAAAAATTCGAACAAGGTTTTGAAAGTTAGACACCCATCTACAGTATTAGAAACGTGTCTAAGAAATCAAAATTTCAATCGTCATTCTCATTATTCCATCCCCATATGCCATTCATATCCATATACCTCCAGCCAAAATTACATTTTTCAATGAGAATCCAATCCATCCAATTTTGTCATCAAAATGTGTTGTATATATTTTTGAGAACCTTACCTTTGTCAAGTATTCAAATTTTGTCATCAATATGTGCTGTATATATTTTTTAGAACCTTACCTTTGTCAAGTATTGAAATGTTGTCATCAAAACGTGTTGTATATATTTTTGAGAACCTTGCCTTTGTCAAGTATTGAAATGCTTCCCTTCCAATCTGGGTCGACAACTAATAATGCATGTCCTGTCCTATAAGCCCTTTCCAACTCTAAATACTTCATAACCAAAACCCGATTTGCTTAATAATTGATTTAAAGGAAGAGTATATTATTTGTCATTTGAGCTATTTTTTTCATTGGAAGCAACAAAAGTGCTCAAAATCTAAAGAAGGGTGCTTAGTTTTAGCCCGGTGAATGCTGTATATTCCGAGAAAACAATATTCAAGGATCGCCAATTCAATTCAAAAGTTGCCGAGTCATGTTTTTAATTTGCTCTTAAAGTCAGTGTCCGGGACACGTTCTTATTCAGCCGATTGCAGCTACACGATGTCATGCACTGAAACGAAAAATAAAAGCAGCCGGGCACGTGCGTGTGCATCGTGTCAACGCTTGTGCGTACCCATTCACGGCTTTGCTGAATTAAAAACGAACTACTAACGGAACTTTCCATCTTTGGAAATGACCTTCTTTTATTGTTTTTTGCGAAATGACAGCATGCCAGAAAGAATAATTTCACAGGGAGTTTAGTCCCATTACTATCTTTAGGGGAGTGTGTGGCCTAGTGGTTAGGGTTCGTGACTCATGATGAGAGGGTCCGGGGTTCGAATCCAGCCACTGGTCATATATTGTGTCCTTGGGCAAGGCACTTCACCCCCACTTGCCCCTCTCCACCCAGGAGTATAAATGGGTACCGGCATTAGCTGGGGAGTAACCTGCGATGGACTAGCATCCCATCCAGGGGGAGTAGAAATATTCTCAGTCGTTTCATGCTACTGAAACCGGAGATACCGGTAAACGCCGGCCTGATGAGCCACATGGCTCGGGACAGACTTTATTTTTTACTATCTTTAAACCAAGAATGCTTTTCAACAATAATTTTGTCAGTTACTTTTTGGATAGCTGCAAATGATGGACTCTACCTTTTAAGTTCTGCAGAACCCAACCAACATTGCCTTTAATGGGACTTAAATGGACCCCATTTTGTTCACTGGGTCACTCAGGGATGCGAGTTTTCCGGCTACAGTCAGAATTTCTGCTTTTTCATGTTTTGGGAAAAACTCCAGCATTCCATCCCTTCCCAGGCCGGAAAAAAAAATCTGTGTTGCTCCGAGAATAGGAAAAGTTGTTGCTTGTTGTTTTATAGTTGCTCAAGAGCCAATAAGAACATTGATTACACACTGCATGATGTCAGCGTGCTAGACTCTTACCGAGTGCACACAAATTTGACAAAAGTTTTCTGCTTGGACTCTCTGCATTCACACTTTACTGCGAATGATAGTTAACTAGCCAAGTGTACCCATGTGCGAGTCTCTGATCAATATGCTGCTCCATCGCGATTGCCTTACCAGCAGGATTCTTGAATGTATGTACAGTACGTTCAGAGGCGGATCCAGGAATTTTTGCAGGGGGGGGGGGGTTTTATCAGCAAAACATTCTGAAATGCAGGGTTTTTTTTCTCCAGACACTTGGTCTCCAAAAATCAATGGGGGGGGGGGGCTTGTACCATACATGTACTTTCAATGGGGGCGCTGTTCAAATCCGACGATTATTAACACTATATCACAGAAAAGTGACAAATACCTGCTAACCAAGCTGGCTCTGTCCGTATTTTATGCAAAGGCAGGCAGACCTTATTACCAGTACATTTCTTCAGTAACACTGGGTTGTTTTTGTTTACTGAAAATTATATTTCGGCACCATAGACTGTTTAAAACTGATTTGGTTTGGTAAAATCTATGATTTCCTGCTTGACTGATGTGGTTGATTTCAACAGACCGTGAAGGGTGACGTGACAGAAACCCGCGTGGAGAAGAAGATCATCATCCAAGGCGATGCAGACATCAACAAGGATGAGGTGAGTGAATACCCGAAACATCTGAAACAAAGTATTCCCGTTCAGCCCCTCAAATCCTTTCAAAATCTACCAAGAGATTTTTGTAGGATTCTAGATTTTGTAGGATTAGATTTGCTTCAAGACTGGGTTTGAATTTTATTCCCCGAATACAGCCGGTCCCTGACAAGTGTATTGCGGTAGCCTCGTGGTCTGGAGAATTACATTTGTGGTCTGCGGGTAATTCTGCAGGTTGTGGGTTCGAGTCCAGCCTGGGGTTATGGTGCGTGTGCCCTTGGGCAAGGCACTTTGTCACTCGTTGCTTCTCCCCACCCAGGAGTAAATGGGTACCTGTGAGGGCAGAGATGGTTATTGTGATTGATTTTAGCTGCTTTGCGCTGAAATGGCAGCATCGAGCTGTATACATGTATTCTCCCCAGGGAGCTGAGATGGTATTGGTCCTATTGAACCCAGCACATTTGTAATCATTTTGAGGCCCGTGGTCTGCGAGTAATTCTGCAGGTTGTGGGTTCAATTCCAACCTGGAGTTATGGTGCGTGTGCCCTTGGGCAAGGCACTTTGTCACTCGTTGCTTCTCCCCACCCAGGAGTAAATTGGGTACCTGTGAGGGCAGAGATGGTTATTATGGTTGATTTTAGCTGCTTTGCGCCAAAATGACAGCATCGAGCTGTATACTCCCCAGGGAGCCGAGATGGTATTGGTCCTATTGACCCCAGCACATTTGTGATGCGATCAAGCTAAATGAGTCGTTTGTCGGGAACTTTCATTTGGAGATTCAGACCAAAATAGGGCCACTTCATCACATCACTGCATCACATCTTCTGGTGTTCCGACTTCCATAATTTTTGAACTAAAGATAGTATCAGCATGCGGTTTTCACAGCAAAAATGCTGAGATTGTGCTCTTTTTAAATCTGTAAAAAAAAGATTGACCAGGGTCGACAAACGACTCATTTAGCTTGATCGCATCACATTTGTTATAATTTGAGGCCAAACGTCAAGAGGATGTTGTTTGGTTGAGAATTAAAGGCTCATAAATTATTTTGGAAATTGAGATGAGGCCAAGGCTTGAACCTCTAGTTCCTCTGTAGGAAGTTGCTGCTGCGTCTTCCGTATGCGCACATGTGATGGCAAGGCACAGCCTAAGCATAAAACTCAACTGACTTTGGAGTATGACGTGCAAGGCGTGTCGAGAAGATAGTCAATTTTATTTGTAATTTTGTGTGTGTGTGTTGTTTTCTGATAGCTGCTGGCCCAGGCCATTGCTGAAGAACAGAGGGAAAACCCCGACTTCAAAATCACGAAGGTCGTCATCCACAAAGAAGGGGAGGAGACTAACGGGGATGTGGAATAGATGCCTAGAATTAGATAAATATAAGGTCAGTTCATTTATCCACTCTCCCAACCAAACTACCTTCCATCCCTCTACCCCTGCTCCCTACCCCATGAGTGTTCCTCTTCATTGTGCGCCGGACAACCCTAACCCCAATGCCTCTAAACCTGTTTTCCAGAGAGGGGGAAACCTAGTATGGACCTGGCTAAAGCCCTAGTCACACATTCACGGTTTGAAGCTACGGATATCCATGGTTTAAAATTTGTGATGAACAGTGGGAGTACCATATTCATCCTTAGGGGCTATGGAAGTTTCAAACTGTTCCAAGCTTCCGTGGTGAATTGTCATGAAAATCAATCCGTAGCACAAACCGTGGGACATCTGTAGGATGACCGTACTAATTCGAAGTGTTATTCGTGGCTATTCGTATATATTCTCGTAGCTCGTTCGTGGTAGAAATCTCTACAAATTTGTTACGAAAGTCCTACGGATATGCCAAGATATGCTAGGATTCTGCTAAGGTTGTACCACAAATATGTATGCTTTATTCGTCGGAGAACCTTGGTCGTCCGTGGCCCAATCGCAGACAACCATGGCGCAATCGCAGACAACCGTGGCGTTAACGTCATTATTCTTAGTAATACCGCTGATATTCTTCAACAATATGTCTATATTCTTGACAAACCGTGGTGTATTCGTAGAGAAACCTAAGGACAGTCGTGGTATATCCATCCTGAAACTGTAGTGCATTCTTAGAAAGTTGATTACTCCACGAATCTCGACGATTCATCGTGATAGATTGATTCTTGGTAAACTGTGGATATTCGTAGCTCCAACCGTGAATGTGTGACTGGGGTTTTAGTCCACAGAAGGTTCACACGACCTGCATCGTGTGGACCTGTTTTGGCTTCACGTCCACACAAAGACGGCAAGGTTGGCACACCATTTCATTTGTCCTCATTTTGTATTCCTCCAGTGCTAACGAGTGAATGGACAGCTGTTGGACACCCTCTTTCCTTCCTTCAAGGTGCATTCAAGTCCGACCTGATGTGCCATTCAGCACTCACTAAAAACCACTTTTTACCAAGTATGTCAAGTTATTGAAACTGTAGAAACTTGTATACACACTTATTACGAGCTTAATATCATGTGCTGTAGTACTGTTTATTAAAACAAGGCGCTTGCCAGGTTTTAGATATCTGTTTATTATTCAATCATGTTTTTATTTTTTAATTTTGAAGAAAGAAAAAAAAAATGGGAAATCTGGTGATTTTTAAATGTGGAAATTTTTACTGAGTGTACAATTTGAAGCGGTGGCATTTTCATTGATTTTTTTGTTCTTCTTACTTTCTTTGAATGATTGTGTAAATGGCATGGATTGGTTTAATGCAGAGCGATCAGAGCTTTAATTAAAAAAAAAAGTAGAATGGGAGTTTTTCGTTCTTCTTCCCTTTTTGTTACCAAAGATGTGGCGGTCGACAGCAGTTTGATTTAGCCAAAACATTTTTTGGGGCTTTTACGCTTTTTTCCTAAGTATCTTATCAACTTTCCAACATTTATGCTTTTCCAGGCAAATTTGGTCAGTTGATGAGACAAATAATAACCTAAAAAACATTAGTTTGATCTCCCATTGTTAAGTTTACTGACCCGAGACCTATTTTGTGCTGTTAATACTTGGCTATATTTTTTACTTTTTTTTGGTAAAAGTAGGGGGTCACTGACATTTTTTGGACGCGTTATTAAAAAGAATTGCCGCTGATTTGGTTCAGATTTTTCTGTGTGTTGGAAAGTTTGAATGTAGACGTAGCCGTCACGACTGAACTGCAAAATGCCGAAATGTAGTGTGAAACTTTACAAAACACAAATTTGACAAAAGCGCTTTGGAAAATGCAAAACGAATTCAAAACCTGATCATAATTCTCTCTGAACTGAGGTCGTAATTATTGTAGAAAATTGCTGAATATGTGCAGTATATGTCCCAGATCGGGCATACGTAGTTTAACTACAGCATATTCTATAAATAAATGATTCTTGCTTTTTAATCGAGTAGACGTCGTAGTGTTTAGAAAAATAAATAATAAATTGATCAATAATTGTAACGATCATCCTGTCCTCGCCGAATTTCAGGCGAAACGGGAACAACTTCTTGTAATTATTAACTAAAAAATGCGTAGCATGTTTGTTATGCCCTGTAGTTAATGTTGTTGCTTGTAATAGTGAAGTTTAAATGTTAAACAGTACTTTTTTTTCTGAACGAGAGGGCGATTTTGGAGAGGACGTTTGTATAATTCGGCTTTGTTAGAATGCAATGAAAAAGTTTGTAATACACTTTCTGTAGTCCAAGCGAGAATTGGAAGGGAAAAAAATTAACATTTTATCCTTGTTTACTTTTCCATTCATTTAAAAAAAAATCCTGGCATGTTTTCTCTTGTTTATATAGCGCTTTTATCCACAAAGGCCTTCAATATTCATGCCATAAAAGTAGTTTTCAAAACACCGACAATTAATTTTATACGTGATTCGCTCAGTAGTTTCAGAGCATCTGTAGTTTCAAACCACTATTCAGCTGATTTGAATTTGGTTCAGTTTTAGCAATTAAAACGGTTGTTTTGTTTTACGTTATTTTATTTTTATTCCAATCACTGCACGAAAATAATTGTTGGTTTTCAGGCTTGCAAACTAGATGTCAGAAAAAGAAAAACGGCGAGTAAAGATTGTAGCACATTTTAACCATTTAGTTATTTTCTGTTTCTACCTTTTTTTTTAAGACACCTATGTTTTTTTGGTAGATGGATTTTTCATTTAACAAAACGGAAATGTTGGACATTTAACAGTTGAAAATGAATCCCCGATACGCCTCCAATCTTATGTACATATTTGTCTGAAATAATCAAAAAATCATAAACAAAATGAAAAGTGTCAACTTGTTTTTTGCAAGCGTATATCCGTGGGCATTAGGAATGGCAACGGTTGTTGAATTGGACAAAATCCTTCATCTTGGCTTCCATGCCATCAACAAATGCCTTATTCAGACTGGTAAACGTTCTGTTGTTTTGTTGTTTCTTAGTCACAGTTTTACACGCTAAAACAGTCATCCGTTGATCAGCATATTCCATACACTTAAATTGAATCATACGCTTCATTGGAAAAATATTTCCATATATATGTAAGCAACAAATCAATATCATGCACGGACCCAGAATATCCATATTTGATCCAGCCAGACATTTTCAGAGAACGGCATTCGCTTGATTTCTAACGCGATAAAAAGGTTTTATTATTCAAAAGCCTGAAATTGTGGACATTTTTGTAAAGATGCTGTCAGATCAACTGGAGTGTCACAATGATATTGGTGACTCTATGACGGTGATGGGGTTCAAATTTTGGATGTTTTACATTGTCTGAATCTGTACTAGACATACTATAGATGGAGGTTTTTCGGCAGAATGTGGTTCTTAAAACACTAAGAGTGCGCTGTTTGTACTATGAAAAAGTTACTCAGAATTGCTTTTTGTGTGAAATTCATTTCTGGGCCAATGTGCATAGGCTCAGAAATGATTTCCACAAAAAGCACCTAGAAGTTAGAATTGAATTTCAGACTTGAATTCTACTGGGTGTGGAAACAGCGCCCCCAAGTGTCCATCATCTGCCAGTGTGTACCGGTGTAGCATTAAATTTGGACTCTTGTGGAACATGAAAAAGTGAAGATAACTCAGTGACAGCTAGCGGTTGAGGGGTTTAGAGGCCATATAAGGTAAAAGAGATCAGATTTTATAAGAGCCCAATTTCATGTGACACCGGTTTTATTATGCAATAGTTGGGATAGGTACGACAGTTCACCACAAGTAATGTGAATTTATAAATGTGTTGCTGTGTTCATATGAAAAAAACAATGTGAGTGGATTATTTTGTGATTGTTCAAATTTTGTGGAACATTAAAATAATAAAAAAAAGCCCAATAAAACTATCCTACTTGAATCTACAAAAATCAACGCATTTTTTGTATTCCTTTGTTTACCTAAAAAATATGTTTAAATGCCCCCCTTTATTTGAAGTCACTTGAATTGAGATGATGTCATCATGACGACACTTCAAGTTTTACCTATAACACATCCTGGACTACCTACACACCAAGTTCGAACTTAATCGGACGTCTAGTTATATTGATATAGGTCATAGAAAAATGCCCCCCCCCCCCTCTGATTTGAGATGATTTATCACTTAAATTTTCACCTATGGGCTCTGCGCGCAAGTAAGGAGGACGCCTTTTTACCTAGCAACGATGTCCCATGGGCCTGCTTCGCCTGGCGCGATTTTTTTTATTACACAACTATCTGGGGTACCTTGTGCGCTTTCCTATGGGGCATGGTTACTATAACCAGGCTGGAGTGGAGGCTACTATTTTTCAACTTGGTACGGATTTCGGACTTTATTTCCCTTTTTAAAAAAATCCTCCAGAGCCTCGGATCAGAAAAGAATAAGAAAACTGCTGCTATACAAATAGTATCCGACTGAAAAATAACGTTTCTAAGACAAAACTTTGACTTGTTTAAAAAAAGAGCAAAAGCTGAAAGGTCAGAGCAAGGAATCGAACTCGGTACCTCTGATCAATAGTTAGCCTGCATAACCACTAGGCTACGGCGGTGATCGGCCCTGCAAGTGTTGACAAAATGACAAAAAAACGAATTTGATTTTTCAATCCAACGCAGATTGCTTCACGAGACGAATTTCAAAGATTTTGGACAATTCGGAATGCTAACAGTTTGAATTATACTGAACCTTAGATGAAATCTATCGGTGGCTTTTTGAAATTCAAATTGAGAACTGAGCTTGGCGATGTTCGGGGACGAAATTAAAGTATCGATATTTTCAATTTGAAAAGCACATCTGTCCAGAAATCGCATTGGAAGGTGTTCTGGGGTCCTACAGGCATCTTTCCAGCAAGTTTGAAGTAATTTCATTTTTTGACTAAAATTGAAAAAAAAACACAAGGGGTAAGCCTTACTTTTTTGATGAAATTTGGCCAAAAAATGTTTTTCCTCCAAACTATGCAGAAAAACCTTTCAAGGCAAGAGGAGCATCAATCAATATTCAAACACCCAATATATTGAAGATTTGGACAAAAATCTTCGATTTTTAGAGGGGAAAAAATCATTATTATTGACTGATTTCACCCCAAATTTTCCTCGAAATTTCAATTTGAAAAGCACATCTGTCCAGAAATCGAATTGGAATGTGTTTTAGGGTCCTATAGGCATCTTTCCAGCAAGTTTGAAGCAAATTCATTTTTTGACCAAAATTACAAAAAAAACACAAGGGGTAAGCCTTACTTTTTTGATGAAATTTATCCCAAAAATGTTTTTCCTCCAAACTATGCAGCAATACCTTTCAAGGCAAGAGGAGCATCAATCAATATTCAAACACCCAATATATTGAAGATTTGGACAAATATCTTCGATTTTTAGAGGGAAAAAAAATCATTATTTTTGCCTGATTTAATTCACCCCACATTTTCGTCGAAATTTCAATTTGAAAAGCACATCTGTCCAGAAATCGAATTGGAATGTGTTCTAGGGTCCTATAGGCATCTTTCCAGCAAGTTTGAAGCAATTTCATTTCTTGACCAAAATTACAAAAAAAACACAAGGGGTAAGCCTTACTTTTTTGATGAAATTTGGCCAAAAAATGTTTTTCCTCCAAACTATGCAGAAAAACCTTTCAAGGCAAGTGGAGCATCAATCAATATTCAAACACCCAATATATTGAAGATTTGGACACAAATCTTCAATTTTTAGAGGAAAAACAATCAGGGGCGCATTGCTAGCGGTCGCCCCTAGAGGTAGAACGTCCTCTAGGGGCGACCGCTAGCGGTAACAGGTCCTCTAGGGCCGACGGCTAGCTGTCGCCCTTAGAGGAAGAAGGTCCTCCAGGGGCGACCGCTAGCGGTCGCCCCTAGAGGAAGCACGTCCTCCAAGGGCGACTGCCAGCGGTCGCCCCTAGAGGAAGCACGTCCTCCAGGGGCGACTGCTAGCGGTCGCCCCTAGGGGTAGAACGTCCTCCAGGGGCGACCGTTAGCGGTCGCCCCTAGAGGTAGAACGTCATCCGTCTTACTTTTTTTGATGAAATGTGGCAAAAATAAGTTTTTTGTCCAAACTATGCAGAAATACCTTTGGAATGTGTTCTAGGGTCCTATAGGCATCTTTCCAGCCAGTTTGAAGCAATTTCATTTTTTGGCCAAAATTGAAAAAAATACAAGGGGTAAGCCTTACTTTTTTGATGAAATTTGGCAAAAAAATGTTTTTCCTCCAAACTATGCAGATATACCTTTAAAGGCTAGAGGAGCATCAATCCAACTTCAAACACCCAATATATTGAAGATTTGGACACAAATCTTCAATTTTTAGAGTGAAAAAAATCATTATTTTTGACTGATTTCACCCCAAAAAATTTTCTTCGAAATTTCAATTTGAAAAGCACATCTGTCCAGAAATTGCATTGGAATGTGTTCTAGGGTCCTATAGGCATCTTTCCAGCAAGTTTGAAGCAATTTCATTTTTTGACCAAAATTGAAAAAAACACAAGGGGTAAGCCTTACTTTTTTGATGAAATTTGGCCAAAAAATGTTTTTCCTCCAATTTATGCAGAAATACCTTTCAAGGCAAGAGGAGTATCAATCAATATTCAAACACCCAATATATTGAAGATTTGAACACAAATCTTCGATTTTTAGAGGAAAAAAATCATTATATTTGACTGATTTCACCCCAAATTTTCGTCGAAATTTCAATTGAAAAGCACATCTCTCCAGAAATTGCGTTGGAATGTGTTCTAGGGTCCTATAGGCATCTTTCCAGCCAGTTTGAAGCAATTTCATTTTTTGGCCAAAATTGAAAAAAAAACACAAGGGGTAAGCCTTACTTTTTTGATGAAATTTGGCCAAAAAATGTTTTTCCTCCAAACTATGCAGAAATACCTTTAAAGGCTAGAGGAGCATCAATCCAACTTCAAACACCCAATATATTGAAGATTTGGACACAAATCTTCAATTTTTAGAGTGAAAAAAATCATTATTTTTGACTGATTTCACCCCAAAAAATTTTCTTCGAAATTTCAATTTGAAAAGCACATCTGTCCAGAAATTGCATTGGAATGTGTTCTAGGGTCCTATAGGCATCTTTCCAGCAAGTTTGAAGCAATTTCATTTTTTGACCAAAATTGAAAAAAACACAAGGGGTAAGCCTTACTTTTTTGATGAAATTTGGCCAAAAAATGTTTTTCCTCCAAACTATGCAGAAATACCTTTCAAGGCAAGAGGAGTATCAATCAATATTCAAACACCCAATATATTGAAGATTTGAACACAAATCTTCGATTTTTAGAGGAAAAAAATCATTATATTTGACTGATTTCACCCCAAATTTTCGTCGAAATTTCAATTGAAAAGCACATCTCTCCAGAAATTGCGTTGGAATGTGTTCTAGGGTCCTATAGGCATCTTTCCAGCCAGTTTGAAGCAATTTCATTTTTTGACCAAAATTGAAAAAAATACAAGGGGTAAGCCTTACTTTTTTGATGAAATTTGGCCAAAAAATGTTTTTCCTCCAAACTATGCAGAAATACCTTTCAAGGCAAGAGGAGTATCAATCAATATTCAAACACCCAATATATTGAAGATTTGAACACAAATCTTCGATTTTTAGAGGAAAAAAATCATTATATTTGACTGATTTCACCCCAAATTTTCGTCGAAATTTCAATTGAAAAGCACATCTCTCCAGAAATTGCGTTGGAATGTGTTCTACGGTCCTATAGGCATCTTTCCAGCCAGTTTGAAGCAATTTCATTTTTTGGCCAAAATTGAAAAAAAAACACAAGGGGTAAGCCTTACTTTTTTGATGAAATTTGGCCAAAAAATTTTTTTCCTCCAAACTATGCAGAAATACCTTTAAAGGCTAGAGGAGCATCAATCCAACTTCAAACACCCAATATATTGAAGATTTGGACACAAATCTTCAATTTTTAGAGTGAAAAAGATCATTATTTTTGACTGATTTCACCCCAAAAAATTTTCTTCGAAATTTCAATTTGAAAAGCACATCTGTCCAGAAATTGCATTGGAATGTGTTCTAGGGTCCTATAGGCATCTTTCCAGCAAGTTTGAAGCAATTTCATTTTTTGACCAAAATTGAAAAAAACACAAGGGGTAAGCCTTACTTTTTTGATGAAATTTGGCCAAAAAATGTTTTTCCTCCAAACTATGCAGAAATACCTTTCAAGGCAAGAGGAGTATCAATCAATATTCAAACACCCAATATATTGAAGATTTGAACACAAATCTTCGATTTTTAGAGGAAAAAAAATCATTATATTTGACTGATTTCACCCCAAATTTTCGTCGAAATTTCAATTGAAAAGCACATCTCTCCAGAAATTGCGTTGGAATGTGTTCTAGGGTCCTATAGGCATCTTTCCAGCCAGTTTGAAGCAATTTCATTTTTTGACCAAAATTGAAAAAAATACAAGGGGTAAGCCTTACTTTTTTGATGAAATTTGGCCAAAAAATGTTTTTCCTCCAAACTATGCAGAAATTCCTTTAAAGGCTAGAGGAGCATCAATCCAACTTCAAACACCAAATATATTGAAGATTTGGACACAAATCTTCAATTTTTAGAGGGAAAAAAAATCATTATTTTTGCCTGATTTAATTCACCCCACATTTTCGTCGAAATTTCAATTTGAAAAGCACATCTGTCCAGAAATCGAATTGGAATGTGTTCTAGGGTCCTATAGGCATCTTTCCAGCAAGTTTGAAGCAATTTCATTTCTTGACCAAAATTACAAAAAAAACACAAGGGGTAAGCCTTACTTTTTTGATGAAATTTGGCCAAAAAATGTTTTTCCTCCAAACTATGCAGAAAAACCTTTCAAGGCAAGTGGAGCATCAATCAATATTCAAACACCCAATATATTGAAGATTTGGACACAAATC